ATATATATAATTTTCAAATCATGTTTTTTTATGATTGTCTATTGTTGTACTGATAAATATCTCCTGGAGGGTAAACTATATCTTGGATGCAAATATCAAGCTGAGAAATCCTTAGTTTTCTACAACTGATAGTAGTTGGTCATAAATTACGATGAAGTTTAGCAACTTCTCTGTAAACATTTGAGCTCCGTGGCTTCAGCGATGTTTTCTTCTTGTTCAATCTGCAGCAGGCAGCCTGATTTGGGGCAGCTACGCTCAGTCTGTCCCTCCTCAGAGACGGGCAGATTTAGCGGGGCAGATTAGACACAGCTGGCCGGGGTCGAGTTTCCTGTTTCGGGTTGAGCAAGAGTAGTGGCCCGCTGAAGCCACGGAGCTCGAATGTTCATCGTAAAACTAACTTCACTGCGGTTTAATATGGCGCTATGGATCTGCAGACATTGCACGATGCTGTCTTGTTTTGTGGTGTTTCTAGTGTAAAATACTTCCACACAGCGGACATGTTTAGATGAAAAGTTTGTTAGCTGTTAGCCACAGTGCTGCTAACTCAGCCCTCACGTTGTAGCTGGCTGCAAACTATGAACTGGATTTCCTGAATGTGAGGCGGGTCTTATTATTCTGGGTTCATGAGACATCTCCGTTCAGAAAATCCATTCCATAGTTTGAAGCAAACATGCGTCATGGATCTGAAATCTCTGCAGGTTGGATCGGAAAATGAATCGGTCACATTGTCAACGATACCCGATCCAGACATTTTTCTGATATTGATACCGATATTGATATTGGATCGGTGCATCTCTAGTTTAAACGGGGCCAGCAACTCTAAAAAGAGACTCCCAGCAGGGATTCAAGATCTGTCAAGGAATACAGTTTTAATTTTTTCTTTAACGGCCCGCTGCATCACGTAGAAAGGCTTTTTGTGCACCGTATCATTTTTCCTAACACGTCAGACCACATAAGATCCTTGAGATCACACTTGGTCTGCCGTCCAGCCTCTTATCCACGTGATAGGCTGTGCTTCCCTCTGCTAGACCCTATATATTTGTAATGCCATGTAACATCTGGCCCTTCCGGTCCAGGATCTCGCGTCGAAATTGTATTGGAGGCCAGCGTTGTACTGTATCTTTTTCCTGCCTTGAGTTAAAACAATTGTTAAAACTGAATTCATGTTTTCCTTGATTTATTGAGAGAGTGCGAGTTACTACTTCTGAGGGAGGTCCGAACCGGGTGCCTCCGGAGCTTGAGGTGGGCCTAGGGTCCGAGATAAGACCCGCAGGACAAACACTGACCAGCAAAACGTTTCAACACAAAGAAACCGTCCAGAGGACCTGACTTAGCTTTGTTGTTTTTTTTTACCTGGATTACTGAGCATGAACTTTGACGTTTTACAGACAGCTGTTAAAACAAGATGGCAGCGAGACTTAGAGTAGGTTTTCAAAGATTTATCTGATTGGATAAGACTTCTGATACAACGTTCTTTGACTGATAAAACCAAAGAAAAAAATCTTCACCCAAAATGCACAGTACCATAAATGACAAAAAAAAAGCAATCACAAACACCTCAAACCAGCTATCAAGCACAGTGGTGGAGGTGTTGATGATTTGGACTTGTGTTGCAGCCACAGAACCTGAGTGCTTTACAAGTAGAAGACTTTACAAGAAGTTAGAAAACTTTTAAAACCTGTTAAAACCAGTTATATTAAAACCAGTTATATTATATCCAAATAGATAAAGATAAGATTGGGGGCAGCTGTGGCTGAGTGGTTAGAGCAGTCTCCCTCCAATAGGAGAGTTGGGGGTTCGATTCCCCCATCAGTCACACGATGAAGTGTCCCTGGGCAAAACACTGAACGCCTCATTGTCTCCGATGTGTGTCCCATTGGTGTCTGAATGTGATCTAAATCTCTGATTAGTCTCTACAGAATCAGAAAAGCTTTGTAGAGGTCTAGTAGAGAGCTGTATGAATGGGTAAATGAGGGCACAGATTGTGTTGCAAAGATCTTTGAGTGTCTTGATTACCATAGATAGAAAAGCAGTATACCATATCACTTTATTTATAAAGCACTTAAAATAGCAATAAGGCCAACCAAAAGTGCTGTATAGCAAAAACAAAACAAGACAAAGGACTATATAAGTACAGTCCATTTACCATAAAACCGGAGAATTAAAAGTGGCTGGACTTTTTATTTTTTGTGTGTCTGACTGCACCTTAAGCGTACACGTCAAGGTTCATGCTCCATGAACTTTGGGTAGAAAAATCAGATAGAAATCAGGTAGAAAAATCCAACAAAGTTAAGTCAGGTCCTCTGGATGGTTTCTTTTAGTTGAAACGTTTCAACAAAAAGAAACCATCCAGAGGACCTGACTTAACTTTTGTTGGATGAAGTTTAGACGGTTACATCTGAAACAAAGAAGTGATGCCACCTTGTGGTCCTTTCTGAAAACTGAAAATTTGAACAGATGTCTCTCTAAACCACATAAAACTGACATTCCCCAGAGAAAAAAATAGCCCAAAGTAGCATTGTGACCCCAGAGAAGCAGTGAAGGTTTGACTTACTGGCATAGTTCTGCACTTTTCGTAGCTCTGAGAAAAAGAAGAGAATAAAACAAAGACTGTCATCAGGGCATTTGTCAGGTTTGGTTGGTGCTGGTGTTAAAACATACAGCTGGAGTCCACAGCTGGAAATGTTCATGACATACGCTGCTGTCAATCAGCTGAGTCCATGTGGCCGAGCTGCGGCATCCACACCTCCTCCTTCTGTTCAGACATCTTGTGTGTGTAAATGTTTCAGAGTAATGATGCAACGATGGGTAACTTTCCTCCTACAGAGAGCGCAATCAGTGACCTACATATCTCTGATGGAGAATTAGCATACTACGCGTTTTTTCTTCTTTTTTTTAATTGGACAAAGGGAGGATGGGTTCTCCTTTAGTTTTGCATAGAGAAGCCAAATGGGGACAAAGCAAATGGTGTTTCAGAGAGAATTTAGATTGGTGAAGACATATTGAAACAACAAAGGCAGTTTTTTTTTCATTGTTTTATTTTAGACAGTATAAATTACATATTACTTGCTATAAAGAACACTGAAATATATTTATGTAGACGATTTTACAAATTACAGTGATTTAAATAGAAATCGTGACTAGCATTCTTCAGTGTTTGTACGTCACCTGCCAAAGTTTTAAACAACAATCGCATGCGATCTGTTAGCGCTATGTGTTGGGGACGACTCTTAGCTACTACTGCACCAATTTTAGATAAACATCTTTAAAAATGACTGTGTTAAGAGAAATGTTTGTGTTTTCTAATGGGCGCTTTTAGTGGAAATCGTGAATCGAGGGGAAATCTGCTGTAGATGTATATCCACTGGTTACTTTGAGAGTTTCAACAAAATTTGTTCAATGGTATATGAAATATTTTGCTAACAGCCAATCAGTAATGACACAGGAAGTTGATGTCAAAGTTTTGAACAAAGATCTTGCATGATCGGTTTGCGCTCAGACTGTGTTATGGAATGACTTAGTAGGGGTGAAATGGTACACGTGGGTGTATTGAACCGTTTCAGTACAGCATGTTCAGTTCAGTCCACATGCGTACTGTTTCGGTTATTTTTTCACACATTAAATTTTATTAATGAGAGATTATGTGCTGCGGAACTAAAGTTCTTAAGCGTGTTTCAACACGGCTCTATTAATTGTTGCATAGTCTTGCAGCATGCGTAGTATTAGCAGCCTAGCATCTCTTTGTGATCTCCTATTTGGGAACATTATGGTTTTCTTGTTAAAAGACAAGTGAACAAATCCAAAGATGTGTGTCGACGTTGTTTCACGGAGATTGGATCTGCCACAGGCAACACGTTTATCGTGTTAATGCACTTCAAATGACATCATCCAAATGTGAACGTAACTTGATGCAAAGAGCGATAACAGCAGCATTTAAACAGCCTTTATCAGGTAATTCAGATAGGTTCAGAGCAATAACACAAGCGTAGGAGTTTTTAAAGCTTTGGATCTACGTCTGTATTCTGTTGTTGATGTGCCGGCTTTAAGCATAAAGTTCTTGAGCCCCGCTGCCTACGACATCCCATCATGTCAACAAGGCTTTGGCCTGACAATGATGAGTGAGAGAGAATAGTTCAACCACCTCATAACAGAAATGATGACCATGCAAGAAGAGGTAATGTTATTGTAAATTTTGATCTAATTAACTTTTTTAATTTAAAATTATAATCTTATTAACTCAGTTTTTTTTACCTCTTTGTGTTTGCAGTCTGAGGATGTCACCGAGAGCTGAGCAGCTGGCTGAGTCTTCTTCCTCTTCAGGGAAATTATTTATTTATTTTTATACAAAAGTATTGTTTACTTGGCATATTTTGGCCTTGGCCTTTTTTGTACCAAAAATTAACTGAACCACACCCTCCTTGAAACTGAACCAAACCAAAATGTGATTTTAGCATACCGTTACACCCCTATCTTTTAGCTATCACCACACCGAATTTTAGCTCAGTGTCTGTGAAACTGGCCGAGTTAAAGCCCGTTTGAGTTTTAAGTTGTTACATGTACTTCCATTGAAGTTTTTCCTGAGTTGAATGTAAATTAATCTAATGGTTAATGAGTTATATTTATATGTTGACATACAAACAAACAAATAATTACATCATCTACTAGTTTTAGTGGTGCAGGTGATCGTCGGTAAAAAATACATGAATCGTTAATTGTGCGACACAACACGACTCTTGGTGTAACTACAGTCCAAGTAATCTTCCTGGAAGTTTAAATTAACAGAAACTGCAAGAAGTAAACTAAAAGTAAAGAGTGAAGAAGAAATAATCAGATCTGTGAAACTCTAAACCAGTTATACATTTTGTTGAAAGTTCAGCTGGCTATTCGTGCTCACCTTTTCCATACAGTCGCTTAAGCTCCTCGTTGAAATTGTCGACGAGGCTGCTGACGGAGGATCGGATGGTCCCCAGATAGAGGTCGGTATTGACGCTGACCACCGACCAGTCAGTGATCTCAGGTAGGGGTGACAGCGTTGAGAAGTTCTACAGGAAACAGAGCATGCAGGTTACGGGAAGTACGATGAAGTAAACATTTAACGAGCCTCCGGGGGTAACAATGTCTGAGCAGCAAAAACAACATGATGGCGAAGGCCTTGTTTGGTGCTTTTATGTTAGTTCAGAGAGTTTCACAGAAGAAAGTACCTGTTGTGTATACCGAGCTTTGCATCTGCCTGGTTTAATACAAAATAGGATTTTCCAGACTATTAACTTCAAAGGCGACTTTCACATAAAACAGAATCAGCATTTTATGCACTTGAAAAGTCCGGGATAAAAGCATGAGGGAAGAAAACCACAACAGGCTGTTTATGTTCACAAAGACTTTTGATGTTTGTGTGTCAGAACACCCAGAAACCATGGCTGATGAATCATAATGATGCTCTGGTTCTGAGTCAACAATGTAGGTACGTTAATGGTAAATGCTCTGCGCTTATATAGCACCTTTATATCTTATTAAGATACTCAATGTGCTTTACAACACAATCTGTGCCCTCATTTATCTCCACACACACATTCATACAGCACTCTACTAGATCTATACAAAGACTAATCAGTGCTTTATCACATTTATACATTGATGGGACACACATCGGAGGCAATGAGGGGTTCAGTGTCTTGCCCAGGAACACTTGAGCATGTGACTGCTGATGGAATTGAACCCCCAATTCTCCCATTGGAGGACAACTGCTTTAACCACTCAGCCTCAGCCACCCCTTATGTATGAACAGTACAATGCAGTAAGTGTGTAACAGTACATTCTCACATTTCAGTACAGTAAGGTAGGATTAGTGAATTATCATCCACTAGTTTTTTACCCGCTTCTTCTTTTTCGGGTCACAAGGGTCTCTGGTGCTAATGTCCAGCTATCACTGTGCAAGAGGTGGAGGACACCCGAAAGGTCATAAGTCCATCACAGGCACACGTAGATAAAAATGAGATAAACAACCATTCACTCTCTCCCTCATACCTAGGAACAATATAGTCACCAATCAGCCTAACATGCATGTTTTTAGTCTGTGGGAGGAAACTGGAGTACCTGGTGAAAACCCATGCACAGAGAGAACATGCAATCTCCTGCAGCGTCACATAGAGTGAAATATTTTAAGCCTTTATGTATTGTAATATTGATGATTATGTCTTACAAATAATGAAAAACAAAACTCAGTGTTTCAGAAAATGAGAATATTGTGAAGAGGTTCAATATTGTAAATTCCTCGTGTCACCGCCTAATCTGCTGACAAACTCCTAGACGTGAGCTACAAATGTCTCATTCCTCAAGTCCAGCCACTCCTGAACCAGAGACAACGTCAGAAGCGTCTTACCTGGCTGAGGAATAAAAGAACTGGACTGTTGCTCAGTGATCCAATGTCCTCTTTTCAGATGAAATATTTGTAAATCAAGGTCCCAGAGTTTGGAGGAAGAGTGGAGAGGAACAGAATCCATGTTGTTTGAAGTCCAGAGTGGAGTTTCTACATTCAGTGATGGTTTAGAGCCATGTCTTCTGCTAGTGTTGGTCCACTGTGTTTTCTGAAGTCCACAGTCAATGCATCATCTAGCAGGACATTTTAGAGACTTCATGCTTTCTGTTGACAAACTTTATGGAGATGCAGATTTCATTTTCCAGCAGGACTTGACACCTGAGTGCAGCCACTTCTCGGTGCAGCCAGGGGGTGGAGGAAGTCTAGTTCGTTGGTCACAGGATTCCATCTCTGCTATTTGTGGATGATGCGATCCTATTGATGTCATCGAAGCGGCTGGGATGAGAATCAGCACATCCAAATCTGAGGTCATGGTCCTCAGTCATAAAAAGGTGGATTGCTCTTTTCAGGTCAAGGGTGAGGTTCTGCCTCAAGTAGAGGAGTTCAAGTATCTTGGGGTTTTGTTCACGGGTGAGGGAAGAATGGAGCGTGGGATTGACAGACGGATTAGTGCAGCATCTGCAGTATTGCAGACTCTGTACCAGTCCGTTGTGGTGAAGAGGGAGCTGAGCTGTAACGCAAAGCTCTCTGTTTACCGGTTGGTCTACGTTCCTACCCTCACCTATGGTCACATACTCTGGGTAGTGACCGAAAGAATGAGATCATGGGCACAGGAGGTTGAAATGAGTTTCCTCTGCAGGGTAGATGGACTCTCCATTAGCGATAGGGTGAGAAGTTCAGTTATTAGGAGAGACTCGGGGTTGAACTGCTGCTCCTCCACATCGAGAGGAGCCAGTTGAGGTGATTTGGGCATCTGGTAAGAATGTTTCAGGCATGTCCGACTGAGAGGAGATCCAGAGGAAGGCCCAGGACACGCTGGAGAGACTACATCTCTCGGTTGGCCTGGGAACACTTTGGGTTCCTCCCAGAAGAGCTGGAAGAGGTGGATGTGGAAAGAGATGTCTGGACCTCTCTGCTCAAACTGCTGCCACTGAGACCCGACTTCGGAACAAGTGGAAGATAACGGATGGATGAATGAAAAGACAGACTTGGCATTTGCACAGACTGCCAAAGGTACCAAAAACTGGCTATGTAATATACTAATTTTTTGAGATACTGAATTTTGTTCTTTCATTATCTGTAAGCCATAATCATAATCATTACAATAAAGAAAGACTTGAAACATATAAAAATGAAGATATTCTAATGAATTGAGATACACCTGTATTTAAGAGTCTGTGACTGATGTTATCTTTATGTGATTGGGCACTTGGAACTCTTTGATGTCCAAACCGTGATGTTCAGTCCAAATGTGCTACACCCCTAATAAACATATGTCACAATTCAATTTTTCTTCTTTTGGCTGCTCCCTTCCTCAGGGGTCGCCACAGCGAACTAACTCGCACGAAGACGTGACAATTATTTTTATGATGGATCCCTTCTTGACGCAACCACAGACCACTGAGCTACCACAGCCCTCTGTGTGGAGCAGAGAGCTGCCATCTAGGATGCCCGGGGGAGCAGATGGTGGGGGTTAAGGGCCTTGCTCAAGGGCCTAGAGTGGGGCAAATGAGGGTGGAGACAGGTGTGGGTGCTTTACCTAACGCACCCACATTTTGATGTTGTCGGTACCGGTAGTAGAACCGGCGATCTTCCGATTACAGGCTCACCTACGCTAACCTCTGCGCCACCACCCCCATATATCACAATTCAATGCTATACCAAACAGTGCAGATACCATAATTAAATTTTATGTTTAGATTTCATAAAAGCAACAGAAATACACAACCATCAGTCTATCAACAAAAAAAATTCAATTCAAAAATACTTTATTAATCCCAAAGGATTATTATTATTAATCATTATTTATTTTCATTTTAAAGTGAATTTTATTTGTCAAATATGCCATCAATGAATAGAAAACTTGTTTTTTTTTTTTTCTGAGTGAGTCAATGAATGAGTTGTCTTGACTACCTGGAGGAACACCACTTTGTCCCTAGTCTGTGCTTGGCTCTCCAGCTCGTTGCTCTTCCTCTTCAGTTGGCTCAGCTCGTTCTCCAGACCTCGGGCCAGCTCCTGGGCGTGGCGCTCAGCCTCACGTTGCCTCGTGGCAATCAGCTCCACCAGGTCGGCCTGACTCTGCTCCACCAGCCTCTGCAGCTCGGCGTACACCTGCCAGCTGTCCTCCAGCTCCTTCTGAGCGTTGGCCTGCAAAAACACACAAATGTTGTCTGTTAGGACTTGGTGTCTAAAAATCCCCCTGGTTATGTTGGTTGTACATCCACACCTGCGAAGATCAGTTTTAGACTTTTACATCTTACAATACTTTAATTTTTTTTTATGAAACCACAGGTTTCCATTTACAACTGTTTTCCTTGTTCACATACCTGTTAAGTGCATATGTATGCTGTGACTGTTTTGGTATTTTCTGTAGGGAAAAACCCAACCACAGTTTTGTTTTTTGTCACCTGTGACAGACTGAATATTTATTGTATCTTGTTCAAGTTCAAATAAAACCACAAGAAATGTAAGTTACAAAAACATCAACATGTGTTTCTGTTTTTTTAAGTCTCTGGTGTTGCTCAACACCGTTATGTTGTACAACCAGACCAGTGAGGTGTCTCTTCCACAAGTCATCGGAAAATCTACAGTTTCGTACATATACTTTGGCACAATTCAGGTTTTAGATTCAGTCAATTATTTATATAGCGTCAATTCACACCAAAGTTGTCTCAGGGCACTGAACAGAAACATTCACATACATAAAAAAAGCCAACTAGTAAAATCCTGAGCAAGTTCAATGGCAACAGCAGAAAGAAAAAACTCCCTTTTAAACAGGAAGAAACCTCCAACAGAACCAGGCTCAGGACGAGCAGCATCTGCTTTGACTGGCTGGGTTTAAGAAGACAGAAAGGAGAGACAACAAACAGAATAGCAGGTCCAGATGTAGGTGCAGGTATACCTCTTATTGGAAGAAAGACAAAAACACACGACAATGATAGAAATAATTACAAATACAAAACAGGCTGAGCAGAGTAAGTAAAGACAGTGGTAAATAATGTGGTCAGTTTGTCCTCCAGCAGTCTAAGCCTATAGCAACATAACTAAGGGACAGCTCAGGAAACCCAAGCCCACCCTAACTATAGGATTTATCAAAAAGGAGAGTTTTAAGCCCAGTCTTAAAACTGGACAATGTGTCAGCCTCACGGACAGAAACTTGAAAGTCAACTGCCTTTCATTCGTAATAGAGGCTATGTTATGTTCAGGGCTTAATTTGCAAACTGATCATTGCCGGAACACAAATAGCGGGTAGGCTGTGTGTGTGTGTGTGTGTGTGTGTGTGGGGGGGGGGGGGGGTGTCCCCCATCAAGATTTTTGAATAAAGTATGATAGATGCATTTTGTTGTATTTTAACGGGTTGTTAAACATCTACGTTTACCTACATTTGTAAACTCTCCGCTTCTGTCAAGCATCCTACCCCCCCACTTGGCAGTTCCGAGCCCGACACCGTCCCTGTTCGTTGTTGTCCGATTCCAAATGTGAAAACTCCTGGTGCCTTCTCGGTCTGGGCTCCTGCTCACGTACGACTGCCTGGTTAGCTCAGCACTCACCCCCACCACTCTTTTAGGGTCAGAGATTTTTTTTATGGTAGACGTGGAAATGCTACTTGAAGGGGCAGCTTGTATTGATATTAAAAAGCTTGTAAGTGGCTGTTGTGTTTAAAATGAGTGTTTACGTAATTATTTTCAGTTTACATATCCAATATAGGATTAATTCAAGGCAGTCATATTTGTTCATAACTTTATTATTAGTAAAACTGAGTTACTGGATCCCAGAAAACAGTTACCAGAATGCACCCTGTCAAAATAAGAGTTTCCGTATCCTGTTCCGGCAGGTTCCAGCTCAAATTAAGCCCTGGTTATGTTCATACCTTTAAAAGATTTGTCCATTATCTTCAATTTATATTTACACTCTCAGTAAATGTGAAACCTTATTTATCTCCTTTAGCCTTGTTTATTCGTAACGTACATCAGGGCCCACACATGGCAGCATGGACTTGTATAACCAAGTGAGTTTACCGTAAACATAAAGATGAGGCTAGTCATCCAGCAGTTTGGTAAGTGAACCCTCACTATATTTGACAAAGCAGAAACAAACATAAAACAAAGTTTCATTGAACCACAGCAAAAGAATATGCTTATATCTTTTCATATAAATTCATTGTTGGATCCAGCAAATGAATGAGTCAGTTTGAAGAGGCGCTTTTTGTGTGATGGTTAAAAACTGAAATATGATCCACTTTGTAAATATTAATGTTTGTCTGGTTAGTCTTTAACTTCAGGGTTTGGCACATTCACACTGCCTCACTCATACAACAATCATGGAAAAGCCCTCAGGCATGCGATGCCGGCATGTCCGTTTCTTGAAATACATTTTGCTGCAGAGATAATGTGGGCAAAAGCAGGGTGTGAGAAACAAACGGTGAGTATTTACACCGGTCTCACCGGTTGGACGACTTCAGACGTGGATCTGTCTGTGCGCAAGAGAAAAACAAACTATGTTAGCTTGTGACTTCTCCACCACCGCAGAGCACGAGAGGCACGACAAAGATAAGGGCAACGACCCGCTCAAAGTATGTTTCTTGTTCTCAAACAAAGGACTAAAAAGGACTGCAGTGTAAGGTATAAAGATGTGTTTTGTGCCTCATAAAAGTGCTCGTGAGCCTATGTTTTATGAGCCAACCAAGATCAGAGAGCGCTAACAAAGCCGTTGACCTTTAAAGTATCATAAACACTTTGTCACATTAATACACGATAAATATTTAACAGACACACCGAGAAAGTAAAAAAAAAAAAAAAAAACAGAAAAAACAAAGTGGTGACTGTAAAAAATAATTACTGGCAAGTGTAAAATCAGCCTAAAAGAAACTGGCAATTTGAAAACGGGAGCTATGAATGCATTCTATCCAAGCTAGTGAAAACTGGACGTTTTTTGTCCATTCATACCATCCACAGTGATGAAGTGCTTCTGATTTCAAGATCAAAGATTACAAAGGAGTAGCAAGTTCAAGTTTTACAATATGCACATATACAGTCTGGAAAGAGGTTGTAATTCACATGCTAATCGGTTTATAGTACACTCACCTTGATAACCTTGATGGACTGCTTGATCTCTTCCAGTTTTTTAGTTCTCTCTTTGATTAGATGTTTCAGCTCGGACCTCTTTTTTCCAAGAACACTCTGGAAAATCAGATATGTCGTTATGGATGTCAAGAGTCATACACACTATGTGTTAGAATGCACAATGTTTATCTGAAAATGCAAATTAGACCTCAGATACAGCAGGTAAGACCATGAAACAAAAGAGCTTACAATGACACTTGCCCTGAACTCAGTTGAGTTTTACACAAGCAATACACCATTTTACTAAACAGTTTTGCAATATTGTTTCTAAGACAAGCCCCATTTAGTTGCTTACAGCATTTAATGTCACATAAATTGTGTCTGACATCTACCACCCTAAATACTCCAAAGAACTGGTGGACCATTTGTCATCATTACATCATAGCATAGGCGTCGCAACCATTATATGTGAAGGGGACATGTCCCCCCCACATTCAAAAACGTTCATTACGGATGCTTCTGATGCCCTTGCATCATACCATTAAGCCACGATTACCTTTTCATATACCGATCATTAAGTTTCTGTCATAACCTCCTTTGGCAGCTCAGAGGCATAACGGCAGCAGGTTGACTTCAACCCTTCAAAGCACTTTGATCTATACTGGTTCCATTAGTTTCATATATCATTATGTTGTCTTCGTCGTATCCGACGATGGCGACACTGACTAGCTTCTGGCATGTCCTCGTATGTGGCTGGCAAATCCAAACTTTGTCTTAAATATTCGGTTGCAGTCACGCAGTATAGCTGGCCCGCACTGTTGTAAGTGTAATTGTAGGAGGGTTTAGGTTGATTCTTGTGAATTTGTCGTTTGAGGTCTAACTCAGAAAGGCGAGAATTTTCAGTTTGCTTTCTTGACCTTTGAACGCCTTTGACGCTGTCTCTTGTTCAAGAATGGTTTGACACAAAGACTGTGATGTGACAGCTGAACCCCTTGTCTTGCATACATCTGAGCGTGGTGGTTCTTGAAGCACTGACTCCAGCTGCAGTCCACTTTTTGTGAATCTCCCCCACATTTTGGAATGGGTTTTGTTTGCACAATCCTCTCCAGGGTGCAGTTATCCCTATTGCTTGTACACCTTTTTTCCTTCTCTTCCCAGATATCATACAGAAGTAGAAAGAAAATATGTCAGGCCTGCTTGTGGCGTTTTGTGAAAGGGTCTACTGTCTCTGTCATATAAATGAATTAAATAACCAAAGCTTACCGTCTTTTTCTTAAACTCATGGTCAACGGAGACAATATCATGGGATTTGTGCATGGCATCTGCACAGACTGTGCAGATGCAGGTGTGATCAGAGCGACAGTAGGCGTCCAGAAGACGTTCATGTTTTTTACAGATCTTCTCATCCAGATGGAAGGTGGGCTCAATCAGACGATGTGAAACCATAGTCTTGACCTGGAAGACAGTTTAGGGAGGAATGCAACAATTGAATCTGATCAGATCAAATACGAGTCCAAGAAGAAACAATGTGAAAAGCTGAACTGACCTTTTTGTGATGCCTTAGATGGGTCTCACAGAATGATCCAGGGCAGTTCACACAAGACTTATGTGCCTTTAACTTCCTTCCAATACAAGCGTCACAGGGAACCTCCCCAGGCTGGGCAAACTCCCCAGTGTCCTGAGAGCTGATGTGGCTGCTGTGGCCTGTGTCCAAGTTTGAACTCACTGAGCCCCCTCGTGCAGGGGTTCCTGCAGCAGCCCCAGACACCACCAGCCCCTGAAACTGGGTGGAAATTTCAGCCAGGACCCGGTTGACACTCATCTCAGGTTTTTTGGAGTAGGTCTTCTTGCACATTGGACACTGGAACTTCTTGCTGTGGTTCCAGTAGCCCTGCAGACAGGCCTTGCAGAAGCTGTGACCACAGGGAGTAGAGACAGGCTCCACAAATATTTCCAAACAGATTGAGCAGGTAAACTGGTCCTCGGTGAGGACTCTGCCTCCAGGAGAGCTGACGCCTAGAAGATAGAAGCAACAAACAGGTTGAAAAGTATTTTGCCATCTTTCTTAATTTACTTCATAACTTTTAGTCTTTCATCTTCAATGTGGTTTACTACAGGTGTTAGCCAGTTGTCCATTCAGACTAGTAGGGTATGCCTACTAATGTTGAGGCAACAGTTTATATCCTCAACACAATAAATACTGTTTAATAATCGTATTTTGTTCTCTTTTTAAATACTATTTCCTTGCTCGGTTAAGCCAAGTTTATTGTCTTCAGCATTGAGTTTACAGTATTTGTAGCAAAGTACAAAGTCCACATACATATACTGTAGCGTAGCCGTGTGTGTTTACAGTACACACATAGTTGAGGCTTTCTGACATTCAGCCCTGTGAAAGCTGAACTTTCACTGGATTAGACAAAGTAGATAAAACATGAACGCATAAAATGTTTTGCCTAACAAATTGTTCAGTTTGTTTAGTTAACATGCTTCATTAGTTTTTTCTTCTTTCGGCTGCTCCCTTCTTCAGGGGTCACCACAGCGAACTAAGTCGCACAAAGACCTGACAATTATTTTTACGCCGGATGCTCTTCTTGATACAACCACAGACCACCAAACTACCACAGTCCTCTGAGTGGAGCAGACAGCTGCTATCTAGGGCACCCCTGGGAGCAGATTGTGGAGGTTAAGGGCTTTGCTCAAGGGTACAGAGTGGAGCAAATGAGGGTAGAGGCAGTTGTGGGTGCTTTACCTTTCCCACCCACATTTTGATGTAGTCTGTCGAGGGAGTTGACTGGCAACCTTCTGATCACAGTCCCACCTTCTCTAACCTCTGTACCACCACTCCCTCAACATGTTTCATTAGTAATTTAATCAATTCTACAATCCTAAAGGAGTCAAAGAAAAGAACAATATTCATTGGATAAATTTGATTTGCTTCAAATTTGTTCATTATAAACTCAAAACAGGAAAATCCTCCCTCAAGAATAAGTCCTAAATACTAAAATGAGAATAAATGTTGATGTTGTGTTGAACAACATCAACATTTTAGACAAAATACCACACTAAATAAAACACAATTAAAAAAGACTGCATGCTGTAAACTAGGATTTGTTTTGTACATTTTGAATTACATTTTACTCCTTGTACAACTCATGTGGGTTATTCTTAAAGACAATAATGTGTACAGCATTAAACCCAGTAAGAAAATTTTAACTTAAGATGCTTTAAATTACTACTTTTTCTCTCACATTTACATTTGACACACTTTTAAAATCTAAAATATATTTTGTCAAAACATTTAGGTTTTGTTGACTTCATATCTGGTTGTATTGTGCAGATATTAATGCTTTAGGTGTTTGAATCAGGTCAAACACAGCAGAGGTATTAGAAACTCAACGTGTGGGTCCTTGGTCCAAAAACGACAACCTTGATAAAGTCATCTTCATTTTTACCTTTTTATTTAAAGTGTTTGACATTTTCACCTGAAACCATTTTCTTCTCATTCACACAGTTCAGATCCAGTAGTGAATGTGAGACAGAGTGGGTGTTGGTACTTTTGCCTCTTTGTACCTTTGCACTTGTTCTAACTTCAAACCCAGACTTTTTATGAGCACCAAAAACCGAACGACTTTCATGTTTTCTTTGTACCTGCTTCAACAGTCAGTGATTTAAAGTTTACGGCTTTGATCTGTGGGTAAAAGCAGAAAATTCAACAATGATATATTTTAAAACCTCCTTGTGCCTTGCTGCCTTTTCAATAATTGCAGTTAGTACTCATATGATTTAAAGTTAATTCTAATTTTCTTTTTAATTTTTCATCTCATTGTGGATATGTGAGAAATAAAAACGTCAGTTCTTTGTATTCCTGTACGCTCAGCAGAATCTACAATAAAGTTGACAAAAAAATTTGTGAAACTTTTAGAAAACAAGGTTAAGGATCCAAAGTTATAGGATAAGCCTTTTAAATGTGCAGTGCCCTGAAATAACTTCTGTTGTGACTTGGCACTATATAAATAAATATAATTGAATTACCATATTTTCCGGCATATAAGTCGCAATTTTTTGCATAGATTTGCCAGTTCTGCAATTTATATGCTGAAGCGATTTATATATCGTATTTTTCAGCCTGTAAGTTACAGTTTTTTGCTAAATTTACATGCCCTGGCTGCGACTTGAACGTCCAAGCAAATTATTTATGGATTTCTTCCTATCTTTATAAACCAATTTTTGGCTGAGATATGACCGTTTTCATACATTCTGACTGAAAATATTGAACACTACCAGCACTCAAGTTGTATGGCATGCCATTGTGTCATGCAATAGGTAAAAGTGGCTATTAATGTTACAATCGGCTTGCCATACCCTTCCACCTTCGTCCTGCTTGGAGCAACCATCAAATTAGCTTCTTTTCACTGCACCGCCCCGGCAAAATGCAGCTAATTTTACCATTTAAGTACATTTATTAAGTAAAAGTTCATCTGAGACCCACCTTTGCTATAATGTCAAGCAAACAAATAATTGTTTTAGGTGCATATCTTGTTAAATTTTGAAGAAATGCACAGTGTTCCTCCTTCCTGATTTCCTCACTCTGCGCACTTCTGGAGCACCGAAGCAGTGAATACTTTTCAAATGAAGCTGATTTGACCATTAAAATGCATTTATTAAGTAAAAGTTCAACTGAGACACACCTTTACTATAATTACAAGCAAACAAATAATTGTTTTTAGCTGTTTATATTGTTAAATTTCGAAGAAATACATTGCGAGTCATCCATTCGCGCATTGCTACTTCCGCGTATTGGCTTTTGAAATGCAGCTGATTTGACCGTCAAAGTACATTTATTAAGCAAAAGTTCAACTGACACCTCTTTACTATAATTTTGAGCGAATAAATAATTGTTTTTAAGTGTTAATCTAGCTAAATTCTTGTTAAAGTCCTCCCTTGCACGCTGCCACGGCCGCCATTTGACAGCCAATGGATTTTTGGCACAACACCGGCCCACATTTCCGGGTTGTCAGCGGTGACGAGTAACAAATGCGACGCATCAGCGGTGACGCATAATAGATGCAACGTATACGGTGAAGCAACGTATTTATGTATTTTTCCACTTTATTAGACATATTTGGACTGATGCGACTTGTAAGGCGGTGCGGCGGAAAATAGGGTAAGTTTTTTCCCATACTCATAACGCAATTTTTGACTGAAGCTTTAAATGTTCATTCATAGTGACATGAACCAGAGTAAACATTAACATTTGCAGCTGCTAGAGGTGCGAGAGGGCCCTCTAGGCTTTTGACAATTATTGGTAGGCATATATGTTGTTCCTGTACCGTTACCCCCCCCCCCCCCCAACAAACATTGACCATTAAAGTGCATTTATTACGAAAAAGTTGAACAGAGACATCTTTGTTACAATGTCGAGCAAAAACAAATTGTTTAAGTGTTAATCTTGTTAAATTTCGAAGAACTGAAACAGCAAGTCCTCCCGTGCGCATGTGGCTACCAGTCGATTTTTGGCACATCACTGGCCCACGTTTCCCAGGGGTCAGCGGTGACCCATAATAAATGCAATTTATACGCTGAATCGACTTATATAAGTTTTTTCCTCTTCATGATGCAATTTTTTTGACTGATGCGTCTTATACTCCGGAGCGACTTATACACGGGAAAATACGGTATCTGAAGGTTGGACATGTTTTTTTCCATTCACCCTTTATTTATACAGGTTAATCCCAGTGAGCCTCGGGGACTCGTTTACATGAAAGACCTGAGGATTGGAACTGAGTTAAAACTATTGTTACAGTCAGTAGGAGACAGAGGAGTGTGGGTACAAAATAGTATCGTCTGCGTACAATGTGCTAAAAAAGCCAAGTGAGCTGAAGCCTTTTTAAAAACAACAGTTGGTGTAAGATAACATGCGAGGAGATGATTCTGTAACTATCCAAACACCTCACTGGAATGTAGGTGGGTGGATAACCAAAAGTCAAACCAGCAACCCAATCTGGTCCTGCAAGTTGTAGCTGAATTGTTTAGATGGGAAGGTGAACTCATTTGTTTTGTCATTTTATTTTCTATTTTAAAACAACATGAGGGATGGGAATAATTAATGTGAGCTGTCATATCAAGGCATGCCTAAAAAAAGTAAAGCTCGACTTTGATTTCATTAAGAAGGAAATGGTGAGATTGGGTGTGGGGTGCTGGGGGCACAGGCCAACCATCGTCTTGCTTCTGATGATAAGCAAGGCAAATTTATTTGAATAACATGTTTCATACCAGTAGGCAACTCAAGGGGTTTTACAGAATAAAAACAAGTTCACACGAACAAGGCAAATCTACCTATATGGACGAACATACCAAGATTTAATTAAAAATTAACAAGAATTATTAAAAGCAGCATCAAACAGTTAAACATCAGTTGATAAAAGCAAGAAGAATGTCTTTAATTTAGATTTGAATGTGATCAGACTCGGAGCGGAGTCGGAGCTCCTCAGGCAGTTTGTTCCACATGTGAGGGTCATAAAATCGAAAAGATCACCACTTTTGGTTCTGGTTTGAACAGCTAATAATCCTGTGTTTGCTGATCTGAGAGGTCCGGGCCGTTCATGACGTATCAGATGGTCCGTTAAGTACTGTGGAGCTAAACGGTTCAGTAATTCATCGACATGAAGGAAAACTTGATTCTACAAGACACTGTTAACCAATGGAGTGAACAAAGAGCTGGCGATATACTGTATATTTCAGACTATGAGGCTCAATATCAATGAACGGGTCTGTTTTCATACATAAGGCGCAACGGATTATAAGAGCATTAAGCGAAACAAAACAGTCAGATAATTCAGTTAAATAAAAAACAACTTTATTTATCCCCAGGGGGGTCACTTAAAAGAGAAGTCAAACTTTATTAAACTCATTCATAATAACCACATAAAATCATTTCGAGGTATGTTTAAGCACAACCAGAATTAATACATAAGGCGCACCTGATTATAAGACTCACTGTCCCTTTTTGAGAAAATTAAAGGATTTTAAGTGCACCTTATAGTCCGAAAAATACGGTATGCTGAATTTTTGGGTGTCTTTGTTGAGATTCTGGCAGCAGCATTTTGGACCAGCTGGGACTGTCAAATTATATTACTTTGTATTTGTCAGACCTTGGAGTACTCCGTTACAGTAATTTAGTCGACTGGAAATGAAAGCATGGACAAGGATTTCAAGATAAAGTTTTGAAACTAAGTCTTTGATTCTTACAATAGTTTTGAAATAGTAAAAACATGATTTTGTCATGTGGCTTTTCAAATTCAAATCTGTATCCATAGTGACTCCAAGGTTCCCAAGCTAATCTTTAACAGAATAAGTGGCAGAGTGTGAGCAAACAGAAATGACGCCTTATTGACAAAGGGTAGTAAAAAATGTGCTTTTCTGCACATTTGACACAACAGAGGCCAAGTCTGCTCGAAAAAGACAAGAAAACGACCTTTTCATGTAAACAACTGTCAGTCCAAACCTTTTCTGACGTAAGGTGGGATGAGCAGCCCAAACAAAATCGAAACGTGTTGTGAAAAGTCTTTTCAATGATGGCTGAAGGAATGGGAGGAATGCAGGCGATCAGGACCTTCTGTCCTTTGACAAAAACAATAAAACAGCCGTTGCTGCTGAAAACCTTTTAACACCAGGTTTACCTGCTCGCTTAATTCAAATCTGAACAGGCTTGCCACCAAGATAAAAATATAAAATTAAAAAGTGTAATTTAAGCTATGGAACACAAGCAGCTACTGATCATGGTTACCTCAGTCATACACAGCCTACAGTATTTTAGTTTCATTGTATAATCTGTATAAACCACTCAAAAAAGTGTTTTGTAGTGGCCATCTTCATTTCACACCTTACTACATGTAAAACTCAACAAAACACATGAAAAAGTTCAAAGCACAGCTTTTTCCGACACTCGCAAGATAATTTAAACACCATTTATATATTAAAATGTTGTAATATATTCAAATAGATAGAACTTACTCTGCATGCTGAGCAGCTCTGCTGTCCACTTCAGGTCCTTTGCTGTGAATTCAAACCAACAGGTGTAAAGTTCTTCCTGAAACCCAGAGCAACCCTCCCACTTCCAGTGCGACACACCCAAACTTCACCACATGACCTCCTTGTATTATCATGGACTTCTATGGCTGCAGAGAGTATGGATAAAGCTCTGTAAGCAAAGAACAGGTTTTTATCACTGTTTAATGAGTACTGTTCCAGTTCAAACTCAATACTGTGGGACACTTAAATGACAAGATTCATGTTAGTGAAGAATAAGATTAAATTGAAATGGGGTTTTGTTCTTTTTTAGACAGTGCATGTTGTGACAGGATAGATAAAAGTCCTTTTTAAATTTTGGAGATACATTTGCACATTTCAGTCATCAAACTACCTTCTGAGGGAAAGAAGAAATTACAGGAAGTGGGACTTAGTCACAGAAAAACCTTTTGAAACAGGATACTGGGTTAAAACAACTTTTATTATGGCTTGCACTGAATGCCCATGTTCCTCCTTGTCCTTTAAGTAAAAGTTAATTCAGGGAATGTTCAGTTCAGTATTTTGTTTTCCTGCTATACTATTAACACAGTTTGCAGTATCCTGATGCATGCTTAATGGTAAATGGATTGTACTTGTATAGCACCTTTCTATCTGATCAAGATACTCAAAGCTCTTTACAACACAGTTTGTGCCCTCATTTACCCATTCATACAGCACTCTACTAGATCTATACAAAGATTAATCAGAGCTTTATCACATTCATACACTGATGGGACACACATTCGAGGCAATGAGGGGTTCAGTGTCTTGCCCGGGGACCCTTTCGTATGTGACTGCTGGTGGAATCGAACCCCCAACTCTCGCATTGGAGGTCGACTGCTCTAACCACTCAGCCACAGCCACACAATAATCCAGGTAGATAAATCTAACAAGGTTAAGTCAGGTCCTCTGAACAGATTATTTTTTGTTGAAACGTTTCGTCTTTTATTCAAAAGACTTCTTCAGTCTGAAGCTGCAACAAACTCAGTCTTACAAGCAAAAGATGAGTTGATGAGCACAAGTTAGGAGTCATCAGGACTCTGTACCACAGAGCAGACAGCGTCCCCACTAACTCAGGAGCCAGGCAGAAGGAGAAATCCTACACAAAACAGGCTCTAGAGCAATGTGGATATCCTAACTGGGCCTTCCTGAAAGCAGAGAAGAAACCCAAACAGGACTCCAGTCAGCCAACAGGTGAAAAGGAGGAACCCAGACCCAGACCAGTGGTCATTCCATATGTTGATGGAGTATCAGATAAACTGAGACGTTTATTTTCTAAACATAACGTCCCAGTGGCTTTTAAACCACAAAAAACATTACGGCAAAGACTGGTTCATCCCAAAGATCCAGTCCCCCGGCACAAACAGAGTAATATTGTGTATGTTGTTCAGTGTCAGGAGGGCTGTGATCAGTCTTACATCGGGGAAACTAAACAGCCACTGGCCAAAAGGATGGCCCAGCACAGAAGAGCAACATCATCAGGCCAGGACTCTGCGGTCTACACTCATCTGTAGGCATCAGGGCACTAATGACCAATTGTTAGGCTGATGGTCCTCTTTTTACATGTGAACAGCTAGTTTTGGCTGTCACCAGCAGACTGGTTGATCCAATATGACACATGTGTCAAACTCAAGGCCTGGGGGTCAAATGTGGCCCTCGCTGAAATCTTATCTGGCCCCTAAGATGATATGTTAAACAAAAAATACTTTCAACACTTGAATTTTCTTCATTAATCATTGATTATGATGTCAAAAGTGCAACAGAGAATGTCAAATGAAACTAATCAAATTCTTGTTGAAGAACCTACAACTAAGAAATATGTTGGGTATCTAACTTGAGTAAATGTCAAATCTGAAACTGATCCTGAGTTTGAAAAAAGGTTTTAATATTGGCCCCCTTTTGTAAATGAGTTTGACAACCATGCATGAGAAGGGGCTGCTTACAGGTATATGACAAATTTGTTGCAGCTCCTCAGACTGAAGAAGAAGAAGACGAAGACAAAGTCTTTTGGACAAAAGACAAAATGTTTCAACAAAGAAGAATCTATCCAGAGGACCTGACAACCTGGTTAGTTTGTAGTAGTTTGCCTTTATTTCTACAAGGAAGCTAAGCATCATTTTACAAAATGTTATAAAGTAAAAACTTTTTGAAAAAAGGTTTAGAAAAAGTTTTATTTCACTCACAATAAAAAACTTGACAGTTTAATTACACAACACAACGTATAAGATTGTATCTTCTTCTTTCAGCTTTTCCCTCTTTGGGGTCTCCACAGTGAGTCATCCTCCATCTCTGTCCTCTACATCCTCTGTCCTCACTCCATCTACCTCCATGTCCTCTCTAACTGCATCTATATATCTCCTCTTTGTCTTTTTCCTGGCAGCTGCATTTCTAACATCCTTCTACCAGTATACCCACTGTCCCTCTTCTGGACATGTCCAAACCATCTCAGTCTTGTCTCTCTAACTTTATCTCCCAGTTGTTCAACCTGTGCTGTAACTCTGACTATGTCATTCCTAATCTTATCCAGCCTTGTCACTCCTAAGAAGAACCTCAACATTTTCATTTCTGCCACTTTCAGTTCTTTCTCCTGTCTTTTTTCCATGTCTCTGTCTCCAGACCATACAACATAGCTGGTCTCACCACTGTTTTGTACATTTTTCTTTTGACATTTGCTGACTTCATTTAGTCACAAATCACTCCGGAAACTTTTCTCCATCCACTCCATCCTGCCTGAACTCTCTTTTTCACCTCTTTACCACACTCCTCATTTTCCTGGACAGTGGACCCCAAGTACTTGAAGTCCTGCACCTTTATGACCTCTGCTCCTTGTTGCCTCACTGTTCCACTGGCCTCCCTCTCATTCATACATGTACTCTGTCTTTCAATGGCTGACTTTAATTCCTCTTCTTTCAAGTCCATACCTCCACCTCTCCAAGTTCTTTTCCACCTGTTCCCTGTTCTCACCACAGATCACAATGTCATCTGCAAACATCATAGTCCATGGGGATTCTTGCCTGACCTAATCTATTAGTCGGTCCATCACTAGAGCAAACAAGAAGGGGCTCAAAGCCAATCCTTGATGTACTCCCACCTCCACTTTGAAGCTATCTGTCACTTCTACATCACATCTCACCACTGTCCTGCTGTCCTCATACATGTTTTGTACCAGTCTAACATACTTCTCTGCCACTCCAGATTTCCTCATGCAATACCACATCTCATCCCTCGGCACTCTGTCACGTTTTTTCTAAATCCACAAAGACACGATGGAGTTCTTTCTGACCCTCTCTGTACTTCTCCATCAGCATTCTCAAAGCAAAGGTGTCATCTGTGGTGCTCTTTCTCTGCATGAAACCATACTGCTGCTCACAGATAGTCACCTCTTATCTAAGTCTAGCTTCCACACCTCTCTCCCAGATCTTCATTGTGTGGCTCATCAACTTAATTCCCCTGTAGTTGCTACAACTCTGTACATCACCTTTGTTCTTTAAAATGGGCACCAGCACACTTCTTCTCCATTCCTGAGGCATTTTCTCACCCTTAAATATGCCATTGAATATTTGAGTCAAAAACCTCACTGCCATCTCTCCAAGACATTTCCAAACTTCCACTGGTATGTCTTCAGGTCCTACTGCCTTCCCCTTCTTCATTCTTTTCAGAGCTTTCTGGACTTCACCCTCACTAATCTTTGCCACTTCCAAATAAGTCAAAGCAGACATGTTTGGGCTGTAAAATATGAGTTAAAATGGGATTTATTGTTGAGGGATCACAAAATTTAGGAACTGTGATTGGTACACCACATTTCTGCACATAAAACCTAAATCTGGCATCAAACAGCAGGATTAAGCATCAGATACTTTTTGATTCAGTCAGCAGTAATCAAATTAGATATAATTTCTGCAGTGTATCAAGATCAGTGTTTGTCTGTTCAGAGTCTTTTGTGTTTCATGATTAGATTTGTTTTTATCTCGTGATTCTTCTGTTTAGTCAAATTACTCATGTTTCCATTTAGACTTCTGTGTTTCATTTGTGACATCACTTCTTCTCAGTCTGTTTCTACTCCTCAGACAGCCTGCCATGCACACTCTCACTTGTTCCCCGTCCATATTCAGCTGAGGTGTTTCCACGGACTCACTAGCCCGTCTAAATCCTCAGTCTGTTCATTTCATTCACCAGAAGAACGTTATTTGGCTTCATGTCATAGCCATGTCTTTTCATGTGGTTTCCTCATGCCTCCTTGAGTTTTTGTAAGTTTTGCTGTCATGACAGCA